CCCCTCCCCCTCTCTCCCTCTCTCTCTCCCTCTCTCTCTCTCTCTCTCTCTCTCTCTCTACTTTTAAATGTTGTATCATATTTATCAGTTACGTAAAACTGTTGAATATACATTTAAAACATCTATACCATCTGAAATTAGAGAAGTTTGAGAATAACTGTGTATTTTGTATTACACAAAAATCGCGTGTTACAAGAATATATGAATCACATAAGTGTCGTGAACATCCAAAGTTTCTTATACTACCATTTGATTGCCATAGAGTAGGTAGAACTAAATAGCCGAAGAAAAAAGCCAGTAATTAAATTCTACGTGATTTATGCGAATGAAGATCATATTTGTTATCACACAGTAAAAATAGAAGTGATTTTTTCATGAAAAAATAAGAAATAGATAATGCAGAATCTTTTTAGTCGTAAAATATATGATTCTTCGTTTTATGAAGTTATCAGGATCAAATGATGTTCTGATTGCAACTTTTTTCCATTCAGTCTTTCATATCCAATAGCATACATGCAAATGTACTACTTGAATAATTACTTTGCCTTGCTTTCTCCCTTATGTATATTAGTAATGAGAGAGTAGAAGTATACATCATTTGAAGCTACAATCTATTCAGAAAATAAAGATTGTTATACGATACTTGACAAAACGAAGAGTTATTTATAATCGATTCTATATATTAATAATATTTTATATTTTATGTTTTTGTACTTTACGAAATGTGTGTATTGTAATATATTGATTGTAAATTGTAATTACACATCAACTATAAAAATATTGAAAATTAGATTATACAATTTAAGAATTAGATTAGATAGAACTCCAAGAAATATAGTATAAGTACAATTGCCCTGTATAACTAATTCATCACGTAAAATATGATTCTTGAAATACAAAATATGAAATATTGATTAATATTAATAAATTACTGAATTAATTATATTCTGTATTATTAATACATCCAAGTTTCTGCATTACATATTTCCTTGTAAGTACGATAATAAATCAGCTATAATTGCGAAGTAATGAAAATTTATGGTGCGATAAGATCCATGTATTAAGCTAATATCATTTATAGAGTTCACGCAGTCTTTGTAAATATGTATCATCAGATCAGATTCAAATAAATTTAGAAAATATATGTTTATTATATTTGTTTTATATGATTTACGTTGTATGATTACGTTGTATATGATGTTAAAACAAAAATTGATGAGCTAATATGATGAAGCTAGTGTAAACCTTTGTAGATTATTATTAAAATAGAATGATGATAAATGAGCGTTTTCACTTTATACAATATATTTTAATGTAAATCACACCAATATTCCTACTAGACTACAAAATTGGAATCATATTTTCGCCTATCGTTTAACACCAAGCTATTTGTAACTCATCGATCACCTTTCTAAATTTCATCGAATATTAACATCAATTGAACGCTTATTTCACTTTAAATGTACGTGGTTTTTAGAAACCAACAAGAGTAAAGGCAACATTTTTTAAATCGTTCTTTTTATGAAATTAGATCTATAAGTTTTCATAAAGTCGAGGTAAATATCTTTCGTCTGAGTACTTTCTCTCTACAAATCAACTGATCATTCTCAAAATAATTGAAAATAAGGAACACGCATCGCTAAATTTATACAACTTTACATCAAAATTGTAATAAATTCCACGTCTCCCTTATGCATGACTGCTAATATCTTGTAATAGTCTAATATTGCTTTGCTAAATAGAAATAGGAGAAATTCGCGCAACATATCGTAGACTTATTACAAAATTAATGATATTAAAATATATAATAACAAATTTATCCAAGAATAATATTAAGTATAAGCAAATTTTAATATGTGTGCCCTTAAAATATTAAACATCAAAATTGTCTATATAAATTTTAATATACAAATTAACGCAATATCACGTAAAGACGTTCTTAAAGATTTTTCTTTACCCTGAATATGTAATGATAATGAAAGGCACACCGTATAGAACCGTAACAAGTGGTTATGAAATGGCACATATTTATCTATTATTATCATAATAAATTAAAAGGATATTTTTTTAATTATACGCTTATACAAACAGCTAATACAGTATTAATAAAAACTCTTAAACGATTAAATATTACGCAAGTTGTAAAAAGGAAGAAGAAAGGCGACAATCAATTCCACATTTACAAGAAACATAAATTTGAAATTACTGCGGAGTATCTGATATACACTACCACTCATTAATTTCAATACACTTCTAAATTCGTTAATATTTCTGTAGAGGGTAGACGTGATATGCGTACTTTTGCATAGAAATGAATCCCCCTGCTGTTATAAACACTTTCTGCACTCGCATGCATCGTATTATACACTATTTATATAAAAATCCTTGATAATTGTAGTTTTCGAGGAAACATACCTAATAACCATATAGTGTCTGATCATGGAAATAAACAAAATACACGCGTAATGCGCTTGTAGTAATATCGGATACGTCCTTAATGCTGTTTTGAAAACAGATTCGTTAACACGTAAAGAACTCCGGTGTTGTTGTTCGTCTTATATTGTGCGATACTGTTAAAACTTGTAAAGTGTTTCATAAATGGCTCCTAAGAAAGAATAATCTGCTATAGTCTCTTTAAGAAATGCAGAACATAGATTGAATAAAATTGTTTACCTGAAAAAGGTTTCTCTTGATGGCAACATACCCTCAAAAGATGTACCGAAAACAACATAGATTTATTTTTCAAATAAATCTACATTTATCACAAACTAGCTTCTTTCCTTCATTACTTTCCAAAAGTAATCGATAATTTGGGTGGTGTATTGAAATTAATGAGCGGTAGAGAGTGAATCATTTACGGAATGGCAAACATTACCATCATCGTTGATATAAATGTACTGTCATTAGAAATGAAAGAATTTATTCACGCTGAGAAACTCGTTGTTTAACTGTATCCTAACTGCACTTTGCGGCATTGGCAAAGCCATTTGATAATACGTGCGTTTCGCTCGACGATACTCGGCGGATCGTTTACCCTTTGGTTACACTCGTCGTTACCCATGCCAATACTGCAGTTATTTTGCCACTGGCTACCCTGATTCGTCTGATTAGTGCCGACCCAGGAGTAGAGGCCCAACGCCGAGTCCACAGAGCTAACACTGTCGAAGAATACGGGCGACGACGTCTTGGAGTCGGGTTCCGTTATACGCTGATAGTTATCCGAGTCCAGTCCTAAACGGTCGAAGAAATTCTCAAGTTGAGTCATCGATCGCGGCGGGCGAGAGGATACTTTGCTGGAACGGCCATTATCCTGGCGCCAATATCGATCGCTAATGTCTGATTTAGATCGTAGGATCGGTCGACCGCGACCTTCCTTCCAACCATCGGAGAACCTAAAGTCATAATCATATTGTAACAAACGTTGCTGTTAATTTTCTTCGGATAAACGATAGACATTCTAAATCTTCTCTATAAACATCTCAAGTAATTGAAAACAAAAGGCGTTTAAATACCTTGAATTACAAGTTGGGCTGTAATCTGTTTGACTATTGCTACTTTCAGACTCCGGGCTGTAGTGTCTCACAACCGATGGCGGTGTTCCACCAATATAGCTGCCTTTTCTAGATCGATCTTTCTCGGTAGAATGTTGTGTGGACGCACCGCTATCTCTTCGTATATGAGTCCAACAATCCTGCGAGAAATCGACGATGATTAAGATCAATATCATAGTCTTGCGCTTGGAATATATATATATATATCTCATCAAACTGTTTATACCTGTATCCTGGGCGCTGGCTCGCTGCGATGAGTACAGTGTCCAGAGGAGCCGCCGGAGTCTCTGGCTGTCGCCCCGTGGCTCAACTTGCTGGAACCTGATGACTTCTGTGTTCGTCCGCCCGAGGATAACACGCTGCTCGCATCGCCACCACCAGATCCCAAAGACCGCCTGATATGGCGGGAACTAAAAGATGGATTAAAAATGCAAATAATTGATCATCCACTTCACTTAAAATCAGCTAGTAAAACTGTTGGATGCAATTATTGTGGCAATTTGTATTATTTAATAATAATATTTAGATTTTCTCTCGGTAATTTGTATCGTTATTATATGATACAAAAAAAATCACTGATTCAAGTAGAACTGACTTACCTGCGATAACAAACAGCGTCCCGTTTAAAACTATGGTCCGAATAATCTGAACTAGTTTCATAGTCCGGGCAATTGCTTGTGTTCGTAGCCTGATGATGAGCAGACGGCTTCGCGGATAATTTCGTAGATGCGCGCGGTGAGAGCGATGCTCGACGACGCGTACTCGTGTGTAAATCCGGCAGCGACTTGTGGCATATCGTGTTTTCCACCGACGGCGAGCTGTTTGACTTCCGACCGGATCTACCGGAAGTGTGCGAGTGCGAGTTGCTTCTACCGAACTTGAAGCGAACATCTTGCGGCGCGCAATGCTGCGAAACAAATAAAGCAACGTGTAACGATACAACCAACGCAGTGTTCATTGATAAACGTGTATATAAATTCCCTTGACAAAAAAGTGTATGTGTGTGCGAACGCTGGGATATATCGCAGAGCTTAAAATAGTGCACGACTATGCGGAAGATGAGTGGCGGCATTATAGCACGAGGCCAAGATCGATATGTCGCGATTTCCTTCTCACCAGAATACGATCGTCGTCCCGACAACCGGGCGAGAGACTTCCAGGCGAGTATCGGAATTTCTCTTCTCGTGTTGGCACTCCGTTGCTCTGCGCCGTGCTCTGCGGCGGGCTGTCGGGAAAGAACATATTCTCCTTGCTGTCGGTGTTCAGTAGTCGACGCAGCTTTGTTTGCAACTCGCCCCCGGTACCGCTCGGGGGTCCCGAAATTGTCCGTCTTTGGGGAACCGGAACCAAACGTGGACTCTTCGGTGGCAGCGCGGGTGGCAGTGTTTGTTGAGGACTCAGAATCCCATCTACTGCAAAATAGTAACAAAAATAGATTCTTACTGCAAAAGTAAGTAATTAATAAAATATAATTTATAATTAATAAAAATGCATCAAAAAAACATTTAAAAGATAAAACATTAGAAACTTTTTTTTTGTAAAAACGACTCCAAAAATTCAAAAGTTTTTCTAAAACGGAATAAATTTCGCAGTTTTGTTCATCGGATTATCTCGGAACATGTTAGGATCACTCTCACGTCATTTTAAGCTCGAGACCTTTACAGAGATCTATTACTGGACAATTTAATACTAAAAATACAGAATTGGGTATGTATATACATTCACTTTGAAATATTTATAAGCACTAAAATCCGCTTTAACCGAAAATAGGTTTACGAGTATTTCTCTTAATAGATTTATTCTCGTCAGTCTAATACGATATAATCGTTAATACTAAAAGACAGTAATGAATCCATACAACACAGCTACCAAAAGGAACGTCTTCAAAACATTCAGTTTTTACATTTTCAGAATTCAAGACATCTCTCGGATAAAGTGTGCTGTGGAAATTATTTATTTGAAGTACTAAATGCACTGTTGTTTAGTGTTTTTCTTTTTAGTATTTCAAATAAATAATTAATTAGTGTCTTTCAGTAATAAATTGGCCAATATTAGATTTCTCTAAGGGAAGATCACTCCAGCGACTTACGTCTGTCTTGTTCGTGACACGAGGCCCAGCAGCAGGGCGGCGTCATGGGAGTTGGTTGCAATTGCGACGGCGACGTCGGCTGCATGGGGCATGAGTTGCCTGTACATTTTCGCAGCAATCTCGGAGGCGGTGCGCCAGGTGCGCTCAGCTGCGAAACCTGCAAGTGTCCGCTGTTCTTCAGCTCCTGTTTCCGATCTAGCACGGTCTCGCTCTTTACGTAGAAGGCTTTCGTTTCCTGTAGTAGTTCTACGGCGCTCTTCCGCTTCCCTGTGACACGCACGTGGCGTAAAGAAAAAGGACAATGAGAGACCACCGGTGTAAATAATCCTCTTTCTGGAAGGAAACACCGTTTTCGGGCCAGATACCTGACTGAACCACGTACAACAGTGTGTTCTCACGTACAGCCGCTAAATTTATGAAAGCCGGCTCCTCTTTAAAATATTAATTCCCGACTTTGGTCCTTTGATCTCTAGTATTTATGTTAGGCTGATCGAATGTCCCGGAAGAGTCGCATTTTATACAGACACGTGTGCGTTTTACCTCGGCTTTTATTCGCGAAGCTTATTTTCTTTTATTAACGAGTAGATATTTAAGTATTTTATGGAAATCTCCATCGCTTCCAAACTCATTATCATTCGAATTTTTATACATATTTCAGCGCTGCTATCAAGTCGGATCGAAAAAAATGGAATAATGACTACTTCTTGACGCAAAAAGTAACTTTTCAGACATTAAAATAGTAATTAAAATATTTTTTAACACATTTTTAGAGTAATTAAGATTATTTAAGCAAAAAAAAACATTTACTCTTATTTTTCCTGTGGTCTATCTTTAAACAATTTAATATATAATAAATTCTTTTCATAGCATGGTTTCAAGATTTACAATAAGAAAAGAACAAGGACTTAAACGATGGAATACAAATACGTCTCTGGTGTAGTTTTATTAAGTGAAATAAATAATGTATTTTATTATTATATAATAAAATAAAGATATTCAATGATCAAATAAAATAAAAGTTTAAACATTATTATTATCTAAAACAAGAGAATAAACACATTTAGAACATTGTAAGAAAAATAGATAAAATTTTTAAAATCGCAAAAGAAAATAGAAACGTATTCTTTGAGTGCGAAAAGTAATTGTTGTTTCTTCGAAAAGTCATATCGCTTTTCAGTTTCACACTTATTTTAAAATTTTACGCTTAAAAATGACAAACTTTAGACCGGATTACTATCTAATAAATAAATAGAAGTTTTTAATAGAAAAAATTATTTTCAGATAACGAAAATACATATAAATAGAATGTTTATTTTATAAATTTCAGCTTAGAAAAAAATGATTATAATGATTCATTTTGGACGATAGTGATTTTTGGGTGATTTAATAAAAACAGAAGATAACAAGAACATTTAAATGATTGGATGACAGCGTTGATGTTTTCATTTATTAGATATATGTATAAAGAGACTATGCGTGAGACTTCCGGAACGCTCGCACAAAAATCCAAATAAGCCGATGCTATCAAAGTATTTCATTGTTTCGAATAATTACGAGCGAGGCTATTTAATATTCAATTTGCGCGCGTGCGGCGTTTATTAAGAAACGTGATGAAATGCTAATGCGGAACGTACGAATGGCTGCTGCATACAAAATAGAGTCCGCTGCCAATTAGAGCGGCTTTTGTATATATAATCTTACTTATACTAATTGGCAATTTGGCGATAATCTCGTTCCGCGCGTAGATTTACAAGCCGGATATCCCCGATATGTAGGAAGAGGAACATCCCGAACAGAGAGGCTTAGCGTTACAGCCAGTTTATGTCAACTTAATCAATGACACACCGTGTTTTTCTCGTTATCAATCGTTTCTCGCCATCGGCTGACATTCTTTCCATATCGTCCGAGACCGATTTGTTTGGCGACACGTTCATTTCTATATGGCATCATCGACGACGATCGCGTCATCGCGCGCGACGAATATCTGACTCGAGCAAGTAATGTCTTCAGTTATGCGCCGAGACTGCTGAGGGCAAGTGACTAACAACGACGGACGAGCAATCGTCGACGAACGGCAGCGTCTGTGCGTTCTCCTTCTGTTTTCGCATCGCCGCTGATTGACGACATGTGCCCAACATCGTCCGACACGCACATGTCCTCAAAGAACGCCAGCCAGATAAAACCCAGCGTTTCTCTCCGGAGAGGCAGCCACCGACCGCGATAATGGCTGGGACACATACCGGTGATAAAAAAAAAAAGTTAGTATGACAGAGGCAACGTCAAGGCCATATATTGTATCGCAACATATGGCGAAATCGTCGAGGAGAATATGTAAAAACCAATGGGACTTTCTATCGTTTCATGTTCGTTCTGTTTTACACCATTTCTTTATTAAAATTCAACACCGAAAAAGCTTTTGCTAAAGCATCTAAAAATTTAATTAGATACAGATCTGAAAATGAATGGTTTGGACCATCAAAATAAATGTAAGACGTTCAAATTGCTAGAATGTTAAAATTTTTTGCAACATTAATGACACTTGCTTGAAATTTCCATGTAATTATTTTAATGGTCCAACAAAGTTGTTTCAGATCTGCATCCAGCTAAGTTTTATATACTTAACAAAATCGTTCTTTCCGTGAATAAAATTGAAATTGATTAGGAATTAATTTAAATTTCATTGAATTTATAAGTTTATCTATATAACATAATTGCTTATAATTATAACTTGTCTATAATTATATAATATAACAAATTAGTCCTTTCTTCATGCGAAAATCATTATCTAAAGATTTAACTGTATAACAGGTCTGAAAACAATTTTATTGAATCATCAAAATATTTATATCTATAGAAAATTCAAGCACGATAAGCAATGTTACAAAAAAATTGTTATATTCTAACCATCAACTTAAGCTTTATTTCTATATAATTATTTTGATGGTCCAACAAAATTTATTTTCAGATCTGTATCTATTTAAATTTTTTTAGATCTTTTAGCAAAACCATTCTTTCTGTGTAAATTTATATTTAATATGATTTAGGCAGGAAAAATAACGTAATTTTAATTATACTTCTTTTTCTTTTTAATAGACTCCTCTTCGTAAATATTTCTATAGACGTGAAACTTCGGCTAATATCCATTAGACATATCTTTACGTGTTAAAAAGAATTCGTCGCGATTAGAGCAAATTTATGTCGATCCTTGAGAGAATCACAAGCCACTATCGCGGAGTGTATTGGCGACGTGTTATCGCAACATTAAATTTGTTGGATCGAATCGCGGCATTGCGCTCGCCATAAATTGTCGAAACGAGGCTATCGGACTATCGGCGTTCGTCCTTAATCGGACGTGACACGATCGCGCACAATGGGACGTTAATGACGAAGATAATCCGAATTGTCGTAAAGGCGGAAAATGGAACGGATAATTTCTCATCGGGACGTAACTACACAACTGTATAACTCGCAACTCGCGGTATATTTAGAAAAGCGTGTCGTTTGACGTCGAAGAAATAAAATGTTAAAACTAGAACAGAACTAGAGGCAATGGATTCTTTTTACCGAATAAAATTCGACCTCGAGTCAATTCGCACGTAGCCGCACAGTGTGACTCAAAACCGACAGTATCTCGCTTTTGCTGGTCAATTCGCTGGTATGGAACGTACCGGCACATGATGGAAATTTGTTTTACATCTGGCGAATCTTCAAGCGATTCAAAAAACGCGTGTGGAAAATTCTTTCTTTTTCCTTCTTTTTCTTCAAGTGAATGCACGCGTCAATAGGGCGCCTTGACGCATCGATTCGTGATGCGATTCGCGATGCGATTCGTAATACGTTTCGCAATGCGTTCTCACGAGCTCTCACCTGTATAGTCGGTATGTCGATGATGATTTCTAACGTACGACGGTGCGGGATGCCTGATCTGCTGCATATCCCAGTATGGGTTCCGGCTGCTTCCGAAATTGTTCACTCTCGTCTGCTGCGAGGGCGACGACGATTGTTTGCAGGGCAACCGGGCCATGGCAGTCGTCATTTTCTCTTTCACGGGATCTAAGCTGATTGCCTCGTGGATGTCCCGCTCAGTTTGTTACGTCGTCGTCTCAACCCCATTTTCAAACTATTGTTTGCTCCCTAGAAGAGACCAAAATAAAAGATGATCGTGAGTCATACAAAGGGGAATATGCTCGTATTGATATGAAATAAGTTTGATCAATGTCAATGTTCCACCACACAATGTAAGATCAACTTTAATCTTGGTTTAATTTACAAAAGATAAACAATAAGTTAAAATGGAATTAAAATTAATCTTACATTAGTATATAAAAACAAGCCTTAATTATGTTATTATTGATAGTGTAGAATGATTCGATAATTTTATTAAGATCACTTTGTCCCGCGGGAATATTAAAAAATTTCGTGCATCACGTATAGAATAATAAGCGTACAGAACTGGCTAAAGTGCCGAGTGGGAAAGTGCCAGTTCACGCGCTTAGTTTAATATTTATCGAGCTGATTGCATTCAATGCTATCGCAGCCAGGTGCCTTTCATTACCATAATACCGACTGTGTAATGCATGAGTTACAAAAGAATAAAACGCGCGCGACGTCGAAGAAGCACCTGTACTCCTCTTTACCAGATCCTCCCCTATCAATAGCCATTCCAATTTAGATTGCGAAGGGTGCGTCACTTCTCGACAGCTCGCACCCGTATGGATCTCTCGTAACAATGCCGCTTAAATTGGTCGCATGAAAGCCAGCAAGGGTTCCGCTGGTGTTATGAAAATAAATGTAGCGTGGAGTTTAATAAAAACTCCATCTTTTAGTGGGGTTTTTGTTAAACTCCAGTCAATTTAACAAGAGCTCTAGTCGAAACAACAAAAATTGTTAGAATGTTTTAAATTAAGTTCGACTCTTGGACACAAATTGTACGAATAAAATTGTCAAAATCATTAAAAAATTTTACTTTTCATTGCGGTGCCAGACACAGCAGCTGTAAAAATATCCTGTGTTTATAGTACTTCGGATTTGTTGGCTCTACTTTAATAACGCAGGGTAACCCTCCACTGAGAGTCTTCAAAATTCTTGTTACTTTCTTGCACAGAATAAAATTTTTTCAATTATTAATATCTTTAAAGATTTATTAAAACCATTAATATCATTTTATAATTAATAAATATGTTGATTTTGTGCATCGAAATATAAGAAAATATAAGCAAAGACGTATGCAAAAGAAATTATTTTTATATCCCTTTTTTTTCCTATATGTAAAAAGAGGAATCTCTAAGATTCCATATCTATTAGTAGGTAATAAAAAAAGCATATCCACAGTTAAGAGTTAAGATCTTCATAGACTATCCATTTATACTCATCAGATGCCATACGACGTGGATGTGTTAACGAAGGCGACAGCTCAATAAATTTCAATCGTCAGCTGGTTTAGATAATTTGCATCATGAAAAGAATCTTTGTCTGATCATCATTTGAATAACATCGTTTCGTTTACTAATTCCAGCTTCGATTAATTAGACGCAATCTTCCAAATTTACAATGAAGTGATAAAACAATTTCTAAATGAAAGACTACTTATGAAATTTTTTCTCGAGAGATAACGGCATTTTTCGAAGTAAAAATTTCGCTTTTCGTGACAGTTTAATTCGATTTTAATTCAATGTCTCGATATTGAGCGATGAAAGTATTATAGATCTATTCGCGTTGCTTCAAATCTCACAAAATGTTGCATTTATCTTGAAATTAAGATAAATACATATTTGAAAAAAGAGCAAGCATGCAATGATTATGAATAAAAAAAAATGTAAGCAACACGGACAGATATAATATTCTACGAAATTTGTATATCCTACACAGTTCGAGATGGCGAACTCGAGGCTGGTGAACAATGTTGAAACAGTAAAATTGCTCGACCAAACAAAAAGCTTTGAGAGCGAGTTCTTTTTTTCCACAAAAGAAGCACACACATACATAGAAAGGATAGTTTTGCTGAAGTATCTAAAAATTTAACTAGAGACCTAAAAATACAGATCTAAAAATAATTTTGTTAGACCATCAACATGTTTATGTACGACGCTGAAACTGGTTGCTAGAATGTCAAAACTTTTTGCAGTATTGCTCATCATGTTCGAAGTTCCTATGTAGATAATTATATTGATGATCCAACAAAATTATTTTCATATACGTATCTACTTAAATGTTTAAATATTATACTTTAGCAAAATCGTGCTTCTGTATACGCAAAAGAATGATTTTGTTAAAATATTAAAAAGTTCAGCTAGATCTAAATTTAAAATTAATTTTCATAGATCGTCAAAAAAATATGTACGACGCTCAAATTGATTATTATAGAATATCAAAATTTTTTTGCAGTATTACTCATCATATTTGAAGTTCCTAATACGTAATTATTGTATTTTGATGATTCAACAAAAAATTATTTTCTGATGTATCTACACTGAAAAAAATTCTGGTCGAAGAATGGACAAATCAGAATTTTTTGGTTGTTTATTAGAATTCCAGTTAAGACAACCGGGAGACAATTCTCTTCTCTCTCTTTCTCTCTCTCATTGATATAATATTTCTGGTAAAATCTACTAAAATTCTTATATTTTTACCAAATTAAATATCAATCAGAATCCAGAATTCTATAGTTATCTCAACTAGAATTCTAGTAGACTTAACCAAAAAATTCTGATTCGTCCATTTTCCACCAGATTTACTATTTAATCCAACCAGAGAGACCACTTCTCCCAAAATAACTAAATTTTTAGATATTTTATAATAACAAAATCGTTCTTTCTTTTATCCACGCCCGCACGTGGTGGCCGGAGTTCAGCCGCTCCAGCGTATTCATGCGCTCACGTGTAGTAAAGGCGGCCGATAATATCGCGGCAGTGTGTATGCCTACGTGTTCTGTCGCCGTCGACGATGCGCTCAACGAACGGTATCCATCCGTGCGCAGCGCACGTATACGAAAGCGTGGTGCGCGTAAGCGTGAGATGTCCCAACCCGCGTTGGACACCGCCGCCAGGACACGCATCGCTGATCGCAACGCGCGTGTAAGTATTCGCACGCCTGGCACACGCGCGCAAGTAAGCTGACACCATCTGCCAGCGATTTGCGCCAATCGGCATTTCCCATAAAATCGGCGAATTCACAAAAATACGCGGACTATGCGGATTATAAAAAAAAGTGCGACTATTTTTCAGCTTTAATCCTTTGCCATTGGCGAATTATACATATTTGTGTTCAACAATTATTATCAGGATGAACTATGGGTCGGTCTCACTTCCGATTACTTTATTTAAAAATTGTTCAAAAACAGTTGTAAAACTTAAAACTGATTATATTATGTTATTATGTTTTTCTTATTCATCTTCTGTAAATTATAATTTATTTAAAATATAATACTTTTAATTAATATTTAAATAATATGTTTAATATTAAAAGAGCCGATTGTACTATAATATTTTTACTCCGTTAATTTTAATTTTTTCTTTTTTGTATTAAATACACGAACAGAATGATTTTGCTAAAATATCTAAAAATTTAGCTGGATACAAATATGAAAATCATTTTGGACCATTAAAATAATTACGTAGAAATTTCGAGCATGATTTCTAATGTTGCAAAAATTTCATATCAATTTTAGCACTCTATATAATTATTTTGATGGACTAACAAAATTATTTTCAGTTCTGTGTCTATAATAGTTAAATACTTTCTATGTATACAGAATACTGAAAATATGTGAATATAATACAAATAATTCGAATAATATTACAAAATAAATATGTATATATATATATATATATTCAAATAATATCAAACTAAATCTTTATTAACTGAAAACGAAAATAGAAAATTATCAAGTGTCTTCGGCAGTCTAGTAAAATACCGTCGCAGCGGTTCTAGTGTTATTATTGTTAATCAAAATAATTAAGAAATTAGTTTAGTCGACCAAAAAAGTGAAAAGATAGTGATATAGACTCTATGAGCACATAATGCATCCAGCAGAATATCTTCGATATAGAGTACGAACGCATATATCTGGTTGACGATTTTAATTTTCTTTCCACGCAAAGAAGTAGTCCATCCTCAGCGTTCGTCATCGCGAGTCTTGTGTCGTCCGTGTCTAATCATTTAGTTCTGCTCTGCACTCAAAGGAATGAAACTCCGATAGAAGGTTCGACGAACAACAAGCTCGTGGAGCTCCGATCTCATTCCGGCAGTGAAACTATCTCGCGTTGCGACGATCTCGAGCGCGTCGAAAGGTCGAAAGACTGTATCGGTCCTAATCGCCCAGACGCGAACGAGACTCCAAATCGATCTTATTGTTCCGACGAAAAATTACATGGGCGTTGTGTACGCGATACGTCGAATTGGATGAGATCGCAATAACACATCGATGATCGCGTTATTGCGAGCGAACGTGACGGACGTGACAGAACTTCGAAAGGCGGGATCCCATGCATTGTGTGCATATGTGTGCGTAGAAAGATAATTTTTCTCCCTCGACATTTCTTTCCATCCTTTCCAGCAATGGAGATTCCAGTTGTTTTCCAACCGAGTTTCCTTCTCCAAATGTTCACGCGATGGTTCGTGGACCATAATAGGAAGAGTATTCTATTTCGGTAGACCTCACGCAGTGCATGTAGTATTGCACACATGCCTACGTGCAGTTCTTTACATTGTTTAAATAGTCCAGCTAGTCTGATGAACGGAAACTACCTACAAGATCCTTGCTAAACAACAGTTGCTTACCAGAACCATTAAACAGAATGCTGTTAAATTTATAATATATTATATTCAATTTGAGTGATTTTAATCATTTCTATAGATCGCCACTGTTCCTACTCGATATGTCATTAATTTGATTAAAACAAAGGAGTTAAAGAAATTAACTCAAAAATGTATTAAGTTGGACTTAAAAGTTTATTTAAAATACATAAGTTAATATATGGACGATGCAGTTTATTTCGAAACTAATCACAATTAATTCACATTTTGACACACATGGAA